TGTGTGTGTGTGTGTGTGTGTGTGTGTGTGTGTGTGTGTTTATTTACATGTGTATCAGAATCTCTAAATACCTGCTCCACCACCATTCCAGCCAAGTCTCGGAAAATCTCGTTCAGGTCTGAGATGGACTGCACGATCTGTCGGATCTCCCTCTCCCGCTCCTCAACCAGAACCGTGTTCTGCTCCACCAGCACCAGCTGGTCGTCTGTGAAGCCCTGAGAGTTCAGGGATTGAATTCACAGTTTTAACAAAAGGCACAGGGTCAAATGAAAGGATGGTCAAATCCTGCTTTCACAGGGAAGCTCGGGAAAAAGATCAAAGCACATTTTATATATATATATATATTCATAATGCTTTGAAGGTGGACAGTCATTTAAAAAGACAAAACTGGACAATGTTGCCTTTAACTTCATGCAGATGCAGTGTAAGATAGACAGCATTTACAAAATGTGCAGAAAAGCCTGTCACCTTGTCATATAGAGCTAGTTCTTCATCTTCTTCCATTAAAGGTCCAGAGTCAAAAAAGTGCTTCGACCTCTCCTCACGATTCTTCATTCCTGCCATGTAAACATTTAGCTTAGAAACCGGTAAACAGACGAGCCTCAGTTAGAAACAGAAAAAAAAAAAAATCAAACTGAAAACTGGTTTTTACGTTTCAGGTAGCTGGACTGCGTGTGTCTGAAGTTGATGGAGAGGTCCTGCAGGCTCTGAGCCAGAGACGACACCACGTTTGTCAGCAGCCTCTCCTCCTGCTCGGTGCAGTGGCCCCGACGAGACTGCAGACCCGTCACCGCTCGCTGGCACCGATGAAACATCTGCAAGAACAAAACTAGCAGATCAGACTACGGCTGGGAAAGCCRACCCGAAGTCACATCTGGTTTCTTTGGACTGAATGTCAGGCAAACCTCTGCTAAAAGAACAGGCCTTCCTGTTGACGAGGCGCACTGAYGCCATCGTGAAACAATACCAGGTAATTCAACGAGTTAATCGTCAGTTAAAGAGTTTTCACCTGCGTGATCTCCTGAGTAGTGATCTCTATAGCGTGCTCCTCTTCACTGCTGTCATCCAGAGTGGGACGGTTCATGTGCTTGTCGTGAAGCAAAGCCAGATCCTTCATTTTCTGCCGAATCCGTGTGATTTCATACTGGATCTGAGAGGCAGCAAAAAAAAAAAAAAAAAAGACTTTGTAGTCATATGGGTAAAAGCTTCAGTGACTTTGAAACATTTAACATGACAGACCACCTCAGAAAAATATTAGCTTTTTAAATCTTAGGGTTATAATGTACGTTAATGAAACAGCGCTTGTAAATAGTTATGTTATATAAAATGTACCAACGTTTGAGAACCRCAGGACTAGTTTACTAATTGTAAATCCATGTTTTAACAGCAAAATCGTTATGAGCACAAGTTCAGTTTTACCTCATCAACCCCTTCTATCCATTTGGGAGGCAGTTTCTTTGTGACACCGATGGCAGCTTCAGGATCCAGACTAATCCCGGACACCAGAGCCATTCGGTCATCTGCCATCTAAACAAAACAAAAATGACAAAAAAACTGGTTTATTTACACAGTACGACAGTGGTACRACAGTGCTCTATGTTATGCCTCTAGCATTAAATGTTGCCATGAAGGTTACCTCATCAAGCTCCTAATGTGAATGCCAGAAAGCAGAGTTCCCATCCAACACAGAACAAGAAAGAGGAGCGAAAGTTAGAAATAACAGATTCAGACCAAGAAAATCAGCAGCAAATACTAAAATAAATAAAAGCCTTTCGGTGTCTCCACTTTGAACAGAAGTGAAAACATGAAAGCGTGAAGCAGAGCGTCCAACAGCTATATAACATTTATAACAATAGACACAAACTTACAGCTGTCTCCAATCATAGGAGACAACAAAAGAGACCAAAATAATCTAGACAGGATTACATAATGGTAATTTGGATAATTACATTTTGTGTTAAATTATTTTGATTTTAGACGAACAGAACAGCAGGTTCTGTAAGATGAACGCTCACATTTGTGTTTACACACATATTTAGTCACTGGCTCTAAACTGTACCACAGCAAAACAATTAACACAATTGGTTCTGTAATAAGAGTATTTCTGATAAATTGAAGCCTTTAACCTGCTTACATGTTTGTGGTAAAGACTAGCTGAAACAATCACAACAGAGTGGCTGCAAGTCGACTACAGCGGCAAGAAGTTGTGTTCCCAAAGTATAAGAGTTCAACAGAACTTTCAACATGCACCAGTCGATACTTCTTACTAGAATGTTTTTATTCTTTCACAATCATTTCTGTCCCTTAAACTTGCTTCGTTTTTGGCCCAAACACAGACCTTAACTGATCGAGATTAAAGCCAGGTTTTTATCATCGCCAGTAAAAGAATGTCAGCTATTCAATGTTTAGGTTTCCTGGTAATCTGATTTGCAGCTTTGCACAATTTTTTCCCCTTTATGCAGGTGAGGAAGCACTTCAGGAAAACAATTTTGTGTAGATGTTTTGAATTGTACTGTATCAAAGCCATTCTTAAAGCTTTATTTTGGTGACTTGCTTTGAGTGTATTATTA